ACCCCTTTAACACCAAATCTAACCTAGAATTCAACCATGACTCTTATATACATATAATATCTGTCTTTTCCTTCATTTGACTAATATATCCTTTAAACTCTTGACCATTTCCACAAAGGCTTCTAGCATTCCATTGTAAGATAGTTAACAAACCCTTAGGGTTAGGTTAGGGTTAGGGTTAGGGTTAGGATTTTTTAGACTTTTCCAAAAAATTATCCGATTTTCATGCAAGTCCTGAAAGTTGACAAAGACAACCCAATCAAACAAATGAGATGAAAATATATATACTTTGTCATTTATTTATTCAGGAAAATTATACAATATTACATATCTGTGAGTGGCAAAAGTATGTGAATCTCTAGGATTAGCTGTTAATTTGAAGGTGAAATTAGAGTCCATCTGTTCAGAGGTGTTTTTAATCAGTGAGATGACTTTCAGGTGTCAGTGTGTGCCCTATTTTATTTAAAGAACAGGGATCTATCAAAGTTTGGTCATGTTTGTGGAAGTGTATCATGGCACAAACAAATGAGATCTCTGAGAACCTCAGAAAAAGAGTTGGTGTTGCTCATCAGGCTAGAAAAGATTTCAAAGCCATCTCTAAAGAGTTTGGACTCCACCAATCCACGGTCAGATAGATTGTGTACAAATGGAGGAAATTCAAGACCACTGTTACCCTCCCCAGGAGTGGTCCAACAACAAAGAACTCTCTAAAAGCAAGACGTGTAAAAGTTCACTAGGTTTCAAAGGACTGGAGACTAACTTCTAAGCAACTAAAGGCCTTTCTCACATTGGCTAATGTTAATGTTTATGAGTCCATCATCAGGAGAACACTGAGCAACCATGGTGTCCATGGTAGAGTTGCAAGGAGAAACCCACTGCTCTCCAAAAAGAACATTGCTACCCATCTGCAGTTTGCTAAAGATCATGCGGACAGGCCAGAGGAATACTGGAGAAATGTTTTGTGGATGGTTGAGGCCAAAATAGAACAATTTGGTTTAAATGAGCAGCGTTATGTTTGGAGAAAGAAAACACTGCATTCCAGCATAAGAACCTTATCCCATCTGTAAAACATGGTGGTGTCATTGATGGAACAATGAATTCTGAATTATACCAGCAAATTCTGAAGGAAAATGTCAGGACATCTGTCCGAGAACTGAATCTCAAGAGAAAGTGGGTCATGCAGCAAGAAAACGACCCCAAGCACACAAGTTGTTCTACCAAAGAATGGTTAAAGAAGAACAACGTTAATGTTTTGGAATGACGGAGCCAAATTCCGGACCTTAATCCAATTGAAATTTTGTGGAAGGACCTGAAGCAAGCAGTTCATTGGAGGAAACCCACCAACATCACAGAGATGAAGTGGTTCTGTACTGAGGAATGGGCTTGTGTTTTTCAAAGGAGTTTCTTATTCTCATCAAGGCTGCATTTATTTTATTATATTATTATTTTTATTGTTATTATTATAAGTGTATTATATACATTTATTATAGCATAAGTATATTATGCTAGTTCTTAAAGTTTTATGTAATGTTTTAATAAAAAAAATTTATCTGCTTCTAATTGGATGATTGGTTATCAGCTTCAAAGTTCACACATGAGTGTAACAGAAGTAGGGAGAAGTTTGAAGTGAGTCAGTGGGGAATCGGTTGCTTCGGTTGCTTCTGCTGTGCCAAAAGAGATGGAGTGATAATGTGAAAAAGTGTGGATGGGGAGAAGAGAAATAGGTTGTTAAACTTGTCTTGCTGTGGTGAGGAAGTGTGGAGTACTGGACCTGAGAGAATAAGGTGGAAGGGCAGAGGGTGGGAGAAAGAAATGGAGGAGGAGAGAGGTGAAGAGAAGTACAGATGTGAATGGCCTCTGTAGGCCATGGGAGGTTAATATGTGCAGGACTTCTCACTTTTTCTTGTTTTTTGTCCTCTCTTCCTCACTTATACATCAATCTAAAGCTTTTGGCGCTCACAGACACTTTTCCCTATTGCCCTAATATGAGTGTCTGTGTGTGTCTGACAGAGTGTGGTAGCAGGTAAGAAGGTTTAGCATAGTCTTCTGAAATCTTATGAATTGCTTATGAGTTATGTGTGTGTCAGGGTCTGGCGTCTGGTGTTCTCCCTCTCTCCTCCAGAGGGCGCCAGCTCCCGGACTCCCATTCCCCAAACCCCATACACCTGTTCACTCATTACACTAATTCCCCAAACTCCACACACCTGTTCAGTCACTCACTCATCACACTCACCCTCAGCTGTGCCCCGTTGTCACTGACTATATCTTTTCCTCTCACTCACCACTCGGCCTGGCTGTATTGTGCGTATGTAATGGTGTTCGTCGTCCCTAGACCTGTTTTTGTTTTGCCTTGTTGGCCTTTCTGTTTGGAATAAAGGAGTTTTCACCTGCATTTAGACCCAGACCCGGTTTTTCCACGGTGCCCGTTACCACTTGTGACAGAATACAGCCAGCAGACATGGGTCCAGCAGGGAAGGTTC